GAATCACAACCTTAAAGAGACTGATTCCCCCTTCCCAGTAGCCATCTCTTTGCCCTAGCTCCACAGATAGGGGTAGGGTTTCTTAAACATCTATGCTGGGATTTTGTCTGTTTTGCGCTTACATAGGACTTGGGACATCTTTTGCCATTGCTGTGAGTTCATAAGAGTAATTTCAGACAATCTTTCCACTATTTCTTTCACAATGACCCCCTATCTTTGGGAGGCAGAAGTGTGATACAGATATCCCACTAAGGGCTAATCACTCTTCAATCTCTTATTCTCTGAACTTGGCCATTTGTGAGTTTCTGGGCTGATCACTATCTGCCTAGTAAAAACTTGACAGTAAAAAGAAAAGGAGCCCCTCCCAATCTGTTCATTAAAAATGTGTTGCTAACATACCCATTGACTTACAGAATAGAGCAAATCAGTAAAGGATGAGAAGGGAATTCAAATAACTGTCATTCCATGCTCTAAGTATGAACACGCACTTAACTGTTCTTTAATAACTAACAGAAACATTTAGTGCAGTGTAGGTATAGATCATATACTTGCAAAACATGCACAGGCCAAAATAATTGACTGTCCTTTCTCTCCCAGGCTATTGCCATTCCATGATCAATTCCTATAAAGTAACGATGGCAAGCTCCTGTTGTCACACATCTAGAGGATGCCACTTCTCATCGCCTCCTCTCCTGCAACCCTAGCCCAAAACTCAACAAGATCCAGAGGAAATTATTAAAGCCTAGAAATATATAATGATTAATATAGATATATAAAGCCTCTATCCTCTAGAACTCCAGGTAGAAAAATTGAAACCAGTAAAGTGTCATTTCTTAAAGTATGTAAGAAATTCTAGTCCTTTTAGAAAACAGAATAGGTTACCCCAGGAAAGCATGAGTAATTTTATGCCGCTGTTGAGGAATGGCTTTGGTGGGGATGAAGATCAAAGCCAATTAAGAGTGACATCTCCTCCTAGCCTTTGGTCCATGACTCCTAAATTGTCTAACCAGATACATCAAGAGGCATTTAAATGCCATCAAAATTATGGTTCTGAGGACCCAATATGAGCCTCAAAATCAGAATGAGTCAATGATTTGACTCATGTCCCAGAACAAGTGGGGAATGTAGTAGCTTGAGCTCCTCCATTTTGTGTGTTTAATGGGTCAAGACTATAAAATCTTGTCTGTTGAAAGGTCCACCTTTCCAGTTTAACTGGTCAATCATCTAGCCATAGGACCACCCCTAGGAAGGCAGGTTATGCTAAACAGATGGACAGAATACCTAATGTGTTAATGAGATAGCGAGGTTTTCCTGCCTGGAATCCTGGTTGAACAGGCAATCATGTGGTGTGTAAGTCTTCCCACTTTGCTGAATTCTTCAGAAAAGTATAACTTTGTCCTTTTCTTCCCCATATCCCTTGTCTAAACATGCCTTCTTTAAGGCTTTGGGCTGTCCCTAGCATCTTGTATTTCTTTACTTTCTCTAAAGCTTCTTTCTCCCAGCCATGTGACCGCCAGTCAGCCCCATGTTTGACGCTCCCACCCCCTCCCATACAGGCAGTAAACCTGCTTGGCTTCATGGCTTTCTCTCCTCCTTCCTACCATTTTCCTCCTCAAGGCAACTGCCAAGATTACCAGCTCACCTGCCCCCCTGAGGATTTGTCTAGAATTCTAATAAAATTATAAAAGCTTTAAAAAAAAGGAGTGACATCTCACCATGACACAGTTTGTAATGATACAGATCATTGCAAACATGATCTCATAGTAGTTAAAGCTGCCAGCACTGAGCCTGCTCAGGACAACAGTCATTCATTGATTTGGGAGGGACACATGGTACCCTACCCCATCCTTCCGAACTACTGAGTACTGATGGTTTCTAGGGGAGGAACAGTTATTGTCTTCAGTTATGGACACACTGAGGAGCTCACCACCATGTGGATGGTCTTGATTGAACACGATGGGTCACAAATCTAAACACAGAAAGCCATGATTGTGGGAGGAGAGAGATTTGACAAGAAAGGGAGGGAAATAAGAGAGAGCAGATGGTATGAGTGATCATAATGCATTATACGCATGCATAAATTCAACAAATAGAAAGTTTATTAAAAATTATAAAGCAGAGTGAGTGGGAACAGGGAAATGGAGACGATATGGATTCCAAGATATATTTCTATGCAACCCTTCGATTTTATGGTTTTAAACTGTTACATTCTTACAAAGTTCCTGACTCATAGCTGACATGTGAATTTCCATGTCTAAGTACAGTGTCATGTATAATACCCTACAACCCCAGAGCAGTGCCCTATTAGGAACTGGAATGCAATTCAAATATTTATTTCATTTCTAGTGCATCTCTCCTGCTTTGATTTGTATACATCATTTCAGATTTTCACAGACCAGCTGTGAAACTTGATTTTTCTCTGGTATGAATTTCTTTGTTAGGACAGAAAATGTCACTCTGAATGACTCCTCTTTTTATGAAGACAGGAGACACATATGCTTCTCTTCCAAATGCCCACAGGTCAATTCAGAGGGAAGCTACTCATTCCTTAAGTAAAAGACAGTACCATCTCAGAAAATGATTCTTGTTGTGACTTTTAAGCTATGTTTCTACCCACCACTGTCGTGCTTGGCACAAGAACCAGGACAAGGATGTGAATGCTATCTTTGAGACACAGGCAAAGTTCATTCATAGAAGCTCTTTATATCACTGAAAAGGAAATTTCCCTGGCATCATCTTTGTTTCTTTGAAACAAGACTGATCGATGCCAAAAGACATATTTAATTCTTACTATACTTCCCTTTAAATTTCTATGACAGTAACCTTAATTTTAGTACCCTTTGTTTATATTGAGAATACACTAAAAAATCATTTGCTGGCTAGGGAAACGGCTCAATAGTTGAGGAGTGACAGCTCTTACAGAGGGCCTGGGTTTGATTCCCAGCACTACATGGCAGCTAACAACAGCAACTTGTAATTCCAGTTCCAGAGGATCAATGCCCATACAGGGGTGCACTTACAGACATGTAGGTAATACACTCATATACATTTAAAAAAATCATTTGCAGCTTTGTCTTTGGATTCACTGCTGGAAAAACTCTACTCCTTAGATACCTGACACATCCAAGCCAAGAAATTACCTGCCTGACTGTGGTTGCTGCTGTTATGAAAGCCAGTGACTTTTCCCTTCCAGGAACTCTCCAGGAGCACTTCTAAGAAGGCTAAGCATTGTGATGTTTATAAAATACTCAGAAGGCCAATGCTGTACTTCTCCAATGAACCAGTTTGCACAGAAGGCACTGTCAGTTCTTCAACAGCAGTGCTCAGTTAACAAAACATTTAATCAGTTTTCTCCTCGCACACTCAGTCCCCTTCTCTCAGATTTTTGGGAATCTCAATCATAGCTAACAGTCCTTGTTTAAAAATCCTTCAGGGAGATCAAGTTTCCATCTTGTGGAAGTAGATTTTATTTTTAAAAAAGAGTCAGAAAGCCATAAGAACAAAATGTGAAAACTTAAGACGAATTCAGAGTGAAGAGAATTATTTCCTCATATGTTTTGAAGTGTACATCTGAAACTCACTTCCAAATAAGAGTCCAAAATTTATCTTGATAAATGGTGGCATCACACAGGCACTATGAAAAACACTAAAGTGATCTAGTATACAGGATGATTTTGTGTATGTGTAGGGGGGTATATGTGTATACACGTGTCCATGTATGTTTGTGCAGGTACACATGCATGTGAAAACCAGAGGTCAGTGTTGGATGTCTTTCACAAACACTTTCCACCTTCATAAAAGTTTTTAATTAGAAAAACAAGTTTTTAATTAGGTTTATTTATTTATTGAGGGCATCAAATGTGTGCTACAATGGATGTGAGGATGTGAGAGGGCAAGTTACAGGACTTGCTGCTCTCTTTCCACCACTTAGGTCCTAGGGATTGAACTCAGGTTGTCCGAATTGAGAGGTAGAGCCTTTCTCCCACTGAACCATCTTGCCGATCCATCTCCATCTTATTTTTTGAGGCAGGTTTCTCAATGAACCTGGAGCCCATTGATTGCCTAGGCTGGCTGGCCAGTGAGCTCCAAAGGCCAGCCTGTATTCCACATTTAGACTAAAGACTCATGCTGCCACATCTAGCTTTCACCTGGGTGTTAGGGATCAGAACTCTGTGCCTATGCTTGCAAGGCAAGCACTTTACTGACTGAGCCATCTACACTATCCTTGATATATGCTTTTTTAATTTAAAAATTATGTCTCATCCTTAGTTTACTTCACACTTAGGATCATCTCTCTGCGTGCATCTTCCATGAATATGTATGCACTGCTTCGGCCTTGCCACTCTAGTGCCAAGTGAGAATAACTGATTATATGCTGTTCTTCACACGTAGTTCAAAATTAGAGGGTAAATTTCTTTATAAAGTGTAGCATATAAGATAATCTTTATTTTGGGTAAATATTCTTAATACTTTTTCGAGAAGATAAACATTTTAACTGGTTCTGTGTCTGCTGCCACATATCCTTTTGTGTTTGCCATCACAAGTGTCCTTCCTGCTGTTTGAATATGACTATACACTTGGTGGTCACAGAACAAAAAGAGTCTGTATGAAAAGGCCTCGATACAGGGCATCAATAAATGCCATAGGTGCAGTGGGCTTGATACATCAACTTGAAACAAAATGCACTTTATCTTACTGAAGTTCCTGCTTGAAAAGCTGTATCTCTTTGGTAGCCAAGTCTAACCTTATCTAATCCAGTATGAAAAAAAAAAAAAATTCCACAATTTGAAGTTACTTTGGATCTTATATAAAGAAAAGTTTGGGGTTGGGGCAGTGCCTTTGTAGTGTAAAATAAACATGGAATGATAAACACAATTTACAGCTCTGAATTTCCTGTTTCTTAAACTCCAAAATCTACTGTGTAGCAGAAAGAAATTTCTCAGGTTACATGCAACAGCATCAAAAAAGTTATAAGACACAGTCAAGGTCATGAAACCTACCCTTTTTTTTTTTCCAAGCACAACCTACACCGGTTGCTTCCTTTAGCTCGGTCTGAGGATTTTTTTTTTTTTTTTTAATACCAAGTTGCAGAAATTTCCAAGTGAGCTCTGGCAGAATTTCACCAGTGAGAATAGTCTACAGCACAAAACGAATCTGGGGGGAAAAAAAGAGAAAAGATGATTTTAGTTTATGATGCAAATGGAATTGGGAAAAGAGAAAATTATCCAGAAAAATTGCACCAGTTGAGGATACAGAGCAGAAAATGGAAGAAATATTTTAAATATCTCTCTTACATTATTTTATATATTATAAGGTGAGTTTTCAACAAATGGAACGTAGTGTAGAGAAGGACTTGGAAATATATTTGCAATTTCACATTAAAAGTGAAAAAAAACATAGAGGGAATGAGAAAAGAAAACTTTGAAACTATCTGGGAAAAAAAAAGCACTTTGCCATCTGGAGAAAAGTCTGGTAATAAGTAGAGACAATGTGATTTGTGAGGCAAGTTGCAAAAGGCGCGGAAGATGGGAGAGGGAAAATAAAATGAAGACGACAGCATCTTTGGGACTTACTGGGCAAAAATAAAATCACTTACAGCATGCATCCCCCACAAAGATACTCGGGCAGTTTTATCTGATCAGATCTGACAGTAATACAAATGGAAGATGTCCAGCTATTCTCAAGGTACACAGTTCTGCCTGAAAATTAAACAACCAAATTCTGTATCAGTGGGAGACACTCCAGTGAAATGAAGGAGCAATGGGCCAAGCCTGTCTTGCACTATTTCTTCTATTCCATACACATTCTGAATTGTTTCAAACCGCAGCACTGCAGCTTAGAATAGTTGCTGGCAATGCTCAGGCTTCGATCCCAGATGGCAAATGTAGCAAGTTAAATTCAAATAAAATCCTAGTAACTCCTTGAGAAATAAGATGCCCACAACCTTCTCTGTTTTCAAAGCCCTACCACCAAAAACTTTCACATAAACATTGTATAATGTGTCATTTTTCTCCTTTTCCATATTCATGGGTGTGTGTTACACACATGTACACACATACACACATATATATACACATATATATGTATGTTTGGATTGTGCTGGCACATGTGTATGTAGGAGCATGTGCATGTGTTTGCTAGTGCATATGGAGCCTAAAGTTGATGTCAGGAATCATCCTCAATTGTTCTTCTACCTTATTCATTAAGGTAGCGTCTCTCAGTGAAAACCAGAGCTCACCAATATGGCTAGTCTCTCTAGCCAGCTAACTACCACAACCATTCATCATTTATGTGGATTCTTGGTTTCCAAATTAAGGTCCTCATGCTTGAGAAGCAAGTGCTTAACCACTGGAACATCTCCCTAACCCCATAATGTGTCATTTTGAAAAGCAGGTATGATAGCACTCAGGAGGCAGATACAAGAGGATCACCACAAGTCCAAGGTCAGCTTGGTCTACATAGCAAGGTTTCTTCAAAATGCAAACAAATAAAAGTATATAAGCTGTATCATTTAAAAACATTGTATATATTACCAGCTGCATGAGCAATAATGAATGTGTTTCATTCAGACACAGATGCCTTATGGGAATTTTTGGAATTTTTCCAGTATGTACTAGGATAGCCCACTTGTGTTCCTTTACATTTTAATTGGCATACTTTGATCTTACTTCAACAAAACAAATACTGTATAAATGCTTTAACTCTGAATGATAGCTTGGAATCACTGCACAGTACGAAATATCACTAAAAACGAAATGTAGCAAACCATGTGGGAGAGATTAGGGATTTTTCTAATTCCAAATGGAGTGTATTCATTTATTTTGACAAGCACAATTTCTTTTTAATTATTCATCGTATTGTGATGAAATGAATATGCTGAGGAATGCTTCATAAAGAAATGTAAGCTTAAGTCTGTAATGGGAAGTCCTATTATCAGGCCACAGTATAAGGAATATCTGCTTGGGGTAATGCAAAATCAACAATTTTAACACAAAAATCCACCTGAGTATTCCCAACGGCCTGAGCAGAGATGACCAATTTGGGTCTTTAATATCAGCACAGTTTTCTTCTCTGTTGTTTGTGGCTTTGTTTTCTGTTTTGCTGAGGCACTGTCCCAATATGTAGCCCATTCTGGCCTGGAAGATGCTATGTATTTTGGGCTAAACAGGATGCCTCTGCTGAACTTTTAAACTGATTTGTCATTGCTTTGCTATCTATCTTCTGATTTCTCTATCTGATACTTGGAATTTTTTTAACTTTTGCTCAGTATATATTTAATAAAGCCACATATTTGAAACTGAAAGAACAACTATTATATCCTGCTCCTGTTGTTTGTGACTCAAGATTTTCCTGTCTCAGCTTCTGGAGTGCTGAGATTATATGAATACATCACCTTATCTGGTTTATACAATTCTTAAAGATCATCCTAAATTTATTTCATTATTGCAAGTACTCCAAAATTTTAAATTGGGGCTGGAATTGGTGCTGTGTTTGAGAGTGTATGATACACAATCATGAGGGGCGGAACTTGGATTCTAGCACCCACAGAATAAGCCAGGCATCCTGAATAGTTGTAGCCCCAAGATGCAAGGACAGTGGAGACAGGAGGCTCACTGAACCCTATGGTATAGTAGTCTAAGCTAAGAAAACTAGAACATCAGGTTTAGAGAGAAACCTTGCCTCAAAGGATTAGGCAGAGAATGACAGAGGAGGACACAATGCCCTCGTCTTGCCGAGGCGTGTCCATGCAGGCATGTATACATGTACATGCACACACACACACATACACACACACACACACACACACACACACAAACTAAATAAGAAAACAGATCTTTATAATTTTATAATTTAAAAATCCCTATATAGTAATAATCTTAATTTAATGCAGATGTCTTCACCCATGAGTGATTTTTTTTGTGTGTATTTGTATTCTCTGGCAAGCAAAATGTTTGGTAGTATCTGAAACATTCTCTTTCTTTCTTTCTTTCTTTCTTTCTTTCTTTCCTTTTTTTTTTTTTTTTTTTTTAATATAGAGCCTTTCTGTAGCCCCAGCACACCTAAACTCACCATGTAGAAAAAGCTGCCCTTGATCTAACAGAGATCTGCCTGCCTCTCAAGTGCCGGGATTAAAGGTGTGAGTCACCACATCCTGCTTCTGAAACATTTTGGAATGTCATACACAGAGAGCACTTGCTGGGTATGCTGTATGGTGTGGAGAACATCTGCAGTGGTTGTCCTTTCAGGTTCATAAGAATGAGTTTATCATATATGGAAAGAAAAAGTTAAAAAAAAGATAAACAAGATTGACAGACCGCTAGCCCAATTAACCAAAAGAAAGAAAGAGAACCTCCAAATTAACAAAATCAGAGATGGAAGGGGAAACATCACAACAGACACCAGAAAGATACAGAACATTATAAGGGAATACTTTAAAAACCTATATGCTACTAAAGATGAAAACCTAAAAGAAATGGACGGATATCTAAAGGCATGGGCACCACCAAAACTAAACCAAGAAGAGATTAACAGCTTAAACAGACCTATAACACGAAAAGAAATCGAAACAGTAATAC